TCGCGACTTTCCTTGACTCAAGTATTACTTCTAGTAGTACGAGCCTATACTACCTTCCACATATATTCGTACTTTCCTCAAGGATATCCTTGAGTCCTCCAAGCCACTTCCTTATCAACCCAACAATTCTCAATATGACAATGCTCTCAGTATCGATTTACCTCCTAGGTCTTATTGGGGCAACCTCCACACTACTCCCCGCCATCAGCTACAAAAGGGACTCCCCCTAACACCCTCTAACTAGCTTATGAATACAATTACATATTACCGACACCAGATAATTCTTCGAATGAAAGGTCTCACACTACAACTGTTGGACTTAAACAAGAGCTATGCAATAGAGTTAAAACCTAACCTTCTAAAATTATCTAGTCTCGATAATATGTAACTTAGCATATTCGCTTAATAGTTAGCTGAAGTTAAGGGGAACCCCTAAAAGTACAAAGCAAGCACCATCCGATCATCGAGTAATCGGAAACAAGCATCCTAAACATGTCATCCTATCACTGACAGATCAGTACTAGCATGCAAGTCTACAAGCTCATAAAACACACATACACATGCATCTCTCCTAGCATTCTATCATGCAAATCCTGAGCAGATCCTTAGCCCTAATCTAGCATGCGATTCACAGATTCACAAATCAAGGCATATCATAAAACATGTATGAGTATTTTGGGAAAAAAATACTTAAGCTCCTTCGATTGCATGCACCACGCCACTTTCTTTTATTAGAAAACTCTTTTTATAAAACATTTCATTTTTGAAAAATCTACCAAATCCTCAGTTTGAGTTCAGACACACCTGAGAGTATGCCTGAATCCCTCAAACCAAGGCTTTGATATCAACTTGTAATGTCCCAAAATTTAAGACTAAAAATTTCAATTTTTATAATAATAAAACCATCATCCAAAACGTTTTCATAAAACCATAATGAAATTAGAGTATGTCAAAATTATCCTAATACATCAAAGTCAAATAAAATGAGGAATAATATGGTGCGTGCGATGTGATCATCCCAAGCTCGTCCCCTTCGATTCGGAAGTACCTAAAACATAAACTGAAAACCGTAAGCATGAAGCTTAGTGAGTTCCCCAAAATAGCACATACCATACATATTTGCTAGCTCAAGGCTGTGTCGGGTCTATTTCACCACCGAGTTTATTTCACCCTCGAGTCTATTTCAACTCATGCGTCGGCCCAAACTGTACCGGGTCTATTTCACACTCGAGTCTATTTCAACTTATATGTCAGCACAAGGCTGTACCGGGTCTATTTCATCCTCGAGTCTATTTCACCCTACATACATATAACAAACAGGCACACAGGCATATAATACATACATTAGGGGTCACAAAGACTACAAGCACATAACGTATCCTGGTGTCCTACAGTATAGTGAGCAAACTCACCTCAGTCCGCTGACAGTCAAACAAATGATCGGGCTGTTAAACCGAAAATCCCCATTAAATCACAAGTAAAGAAACCCTAATTAGAAATTAGGTCAATAATCCAACCCGTGAGTCCAAACCCTAAATCTTGGCCTTAAGGAAAAAAGTTACTTATTCCTTGCCTTATTTGGCCTAGCCCATCAAGGCCCAAATGTTACTAGCCACGAAGCCGAAAAGATAATCTATGTCTAAAATGGCCCAAGCCCCAAAGGCCCATCATAGAAAAGCTTACAGCCCAATAAGGGCCCAAAGTCCCTAAATCCCCCACTTGGCCTGAAACAAGCCTAAGACCCACTTCGATGAGTACGCTCAACGTACCAACCAGTACGCCCGACGTACTCACAACCATCGCATCATCGGGACTTCAGATGTGTATGCTCAGCGTACCCCAAGCTACGCCCGACGTACGTTGCAGCTGGCCAAAACCTCAATCCAAGATCTTAATCAGTTAAGAGCCAATGTTCAATTTTAGATCTAGGCTTATTAAAGTGAATTAAGCCATAAAATTGCCAACTTTATGCTTTTGCATGCCTTACTAAGGCAAATCTAGGATTTAACCATATTATCTTCATAAAACCACCTTCAATCCTTACATGATTGAACTTAATCCATCAACACTCCATTTTTATGCTCAAGGGACATTAGAAACACTAGGCTCTAACATTATAACCTTTGGAGTAGTTCATACTCTCAAGAAGACCTTAAAGGACCATTTTATGAAGTAATAAGCCCTAAACTAACAATTAGCACATGGATTCATCAAAGTAGAAGATTTTTACCTTCAATAAGCTAGAAATGATGAGAAACCTCTAGATCTACAAGCTCTTTCTGACCAATGCTTCCTCACAACTCTTCATCTTCTTCTCTAAGCACCACACACACTAAAACACACACACACACACAAACACACAACTCGATCTTTAGGGAAAATGGATTAGGGTTTCGAGATATGACTAAAGAGGAAAAGGAGGCTGATAAGGTGATGAACTTGAAGGACTTAATAAGTTTAAGTAGGGTGCAAACCCTAAAAATTAGGGTTTGCCTTTGGCTTGAGTACGCCATGCGTACGCATGGGTACGCCCAGCGTACATAGGGGTCATCCTCGATGCGTGCACGCAAAGGAGTACATTGTTCGTACCTAGTCTACGCCCAACGTACTCATGGTCTAGTCCTTGATTAATTGGAATAATGTTGAAAGTTTATACCTGGCGACTCGGGCGTTACAATGTAATTTGCCTTCAATTTTAATCACCTTTTTATTGTTGATCATTCTATTGTAATGGTTTTTGTTTGAGATATTGGCAATCAACATAAAGTTTGGGTTCTACTTTTTTATAAGTTTCAAAATGATCAACATTCTTGTCATGAAAAAGGTTGTCATCTTTAATACCATTATCTTGCAAACTTTATCTCAGGTTTAACATGATAGTTTAACATTGTAAAAAAATATTGTGGTTATATAAATTGTATTTCAATGTTATAAAACTAGATTATTTAAATTTTAATGTTGAAAAACTTTTTTATGTTTAAAAAATCGGTTTATTTAAATTTTAGATTATTTTAACAGTCTGCAGACGTTAAAAACAAATAATGTTCTTCTTACAAACTATAGACGTTTGGTTCACATCTTCTATTGAAGAGGTCTGCAGATGTGGTTCGCAGGCTGTAGACCTTTTGCCTTAGAAAAAACAAACAACATTTAAGTCTCGCCTTCGTCATCACATTGTACCGTCTCCATCCTCGTTGCAGCTGCCACAACCACCACCACCTTCTCCTTTCCTCTCCCACTTACTTTCTTTCTTTATCCCTCTCTTATAATTATAGCCATCGGATACTCCCTCTCGCCTCTGTCCTAGTTATGGGTGTATTTTTCCTATGAATTTTTTGATTTTACTAAAGTATCCCTTTTTACAATGTTACAAGAAAAGTTTAATATTTTAATTGGGGATCGATAATTATACCATATTTAATTTTTTGTTCCTATTTATTTCGACCTTTAATTAATTTTTTAATTTGGGTGTCATTCGTTATAGTATGCATCTGTTCCATTCATGAAAAGATATATGTTGAATGGTAATGTGAAATATAGGCAAAATATATGGATTTTTGGGCCCAATTAAGTGTAGGGGATGTTTGTGTGGGTGTGATTGATATTTGTGTGTTTGAGTTGATCAATGTGATGAAAAAGATGCTTAAAGTCACCATCGTTTGAGCTAGGATTTAATTTGGTTTTAATTTTTGGTTAGAAATTTCAATTTGGTGGTGGTGGTTTGTTATAGTGATTGGTGATGTTGGTGATTAGTGATGGTGTTGATTAGTTACAATGGTGATTTGCGATAGTGTTGATGGTGAAGGTGACGATTGACTAATTGGTGACTATGATAAGGTCGGTGGCAGCAATGGTAGAGTCGGTGGCGACAATTAATGTTGATTGGTGGAAGTTGGAGGAATAGTAGCGGCAGTCAATGGTTGTTGGTGGAGTGTGGGTGGGTTTAAAATTGGAGTGTGGTCAATGGTGGAGTGTGGGTGGGTTTAAAATTGAAGTGTGGTCGGTGGTGGCACACTTACTAGAACAAATAATAAATAATAAAACTGAAATATGAAAAAGACAAAAGTGAGATAAAAAGGTATTTTACCTTTTATGCAATAGAAAAAAGTTGATGGTAACAATCTCATACACCAAATATGTGACTTCTGAAAATTATAGAGACTAGCTATGTCAAAAACTTAAAAGTGTGGCTAAAACTGCATAATAGTATAAATCACATGGACCAAAACTGTAATGTTTGCTTTAGTTAATTAACCCAAATTAATACAACGTTTTTATCTCAAAAGAAAAGAGAAAGTAAAAGGCGACAATAAGTATATGCTACAACTCAGACCACGATAATCTTTCATGTTGCTTACAATGGTCCAATCAGCCGCCTCTTGCTATTTTACATATTTTCCTGGTCACATGGACGTGAATCAAACGACGAATAGTGAATCACCGCAACGGGGCTTTTGCACACCAACTGACAGCTGTCATACGCCCTACCTTCACATGCGCCACACTACAATTTTTGTCCTTTATAATAATTTGATATTAGTTGTTAATCTATAACTTTTATATTTTGTTCTTCACAATATATATATATATATATATATATATATATATATATATATAATAGATTTAAATGTTTTTAGCAACTATTGTGTGCCTAAATGCACCAATGAGAATTCAAGAAATAATAAATCATTAAAGGGTATTTTGGACCTTTTATATTTTTAATTAAGGAAATCATTTAATTGAAATCTTGCAATTAAGGAAATAAAGTAAATATATTTGACCTAGTCATGTGTGTGGTCGAACACGTTCATCATCGGCATCAACACCATCACCATCACTGCTGCCCACTTCCTCTCTTCGCCGACCTCCATCTTTTAATTTCTTCAATTCTTAACAATTCCAAACACTCAGTTGGAGTGTTACTGTTAATGCAGCAGGTATCAAGCACCACCGCCGTATATATAAACTTTTTTTGATTCCTTTTTCATAATCAATCGACCATGAAGACTCAGTTGGAGTCATGTTCCTTTTTCTTTGTGTTTCACTTCTGTGAAAAACCACCACCGAGGGGTGGTGGTGTTGCTGCTGTTGTCCATCGAACACCACCAAGAACCACTTTTTCATCACCATTCTTACCGATCAGCAACAACTCAAACCACCTGCCATCTACAGCAATCGCCACCACTCCCTTTTTACTGTTATTGGCGATTCTGGAGAGACCTCGAGGCAGCAGTCGCCTGCATCGATTACATGTAAGCTTCATCTAACCTATCAATTTTGCAAGATTATTAGTATTTCTAGTTTTTTTTTTCTTTCATTCTTTGTGTAGCAATCCTTGCCCGCCAATTGTTCGCTAAAATGGCTGAAAGAAATTCTTTGTCCATTTCCATTTACTCTTCATCACTCTTTTACTTTAATTCAATTTTAGTATATGTACATATAAATATAAAAAACGATTTTTATACATTTTGAAGGTATACATCAATTATCTTAGTGCAGTTGTTGACCCCCTTCCAGCAAAACAGGGTATATATGTACCTTACAACATTCTGCTAGAATGGAATATCAAATTCTAATTTTGTTAGAATAGAATCTTGTAACCAATTATGTCATAAAAGAATTTGTATCCATTCTTGTTATTGGTCTCGATTCTTATAGAATGACATCCTAAATAATGAAACATTACATTCTTTCAGAATAAATTACATTGCAAGTTTAGGGATGATTGATGTTGGTTTGTAGAAATTATAGTTATATCACATTCTATTGGAATTTATTATTTTATTCTATTTAATGCACTAAAATTTTAATATCTGAAAGTTGATTATGTTTTCTTTGTGAATTTAGGTTTTGAAGAAGTTGTTATTAATGTGGAAAATGAAGAAAACATGGAGAACAATAGTGCATTCTAGCAGAATGTATTCTGTCAGAATTTATAAATGGTTTCTTAACAATAATATTCTTTCGGAATGGATTAGTGTTTTTGTTATATTTTGATGTTTTTTAATTCTTTTTTAACCATTTTTAGTTTTAATCTTTAAGAATAAATGTAATCGTTAAACTATTAATTGTTATGATTTTTTTAGAATGCATGTAATAATTGTTTATAGTCTTATTCTTTACGGATGAATGTAAATAATGATTCTTAAAGAATAAAATATGTATTCCTTAGAAAACGTTATTCTTGATAATATGTTGTATAATTATTTAATATAGAAAGTATCTTAAATGAAACCATATTCTGCAAAAATAAAAACCGCAAATATATTTACTAGTTTATTGTTGACTTTCTGTCATTCTGACAGAATAAAATCGGGTTATGTTTACAAATTACGTTTGAAATTGAATTAATTTGAAAAAAAAATCAGATTTTTTAGATCAAAATCACTAATTATCCCATAAATCTCGATTTTTCTTTTTTTAAATTTGTCTCAATTGACTAAAATGCCGTTATGCTAAAATTTGTATGATTATATGATACATGTTACCCTATTGTACTATCATAGACCCTCAGATCATGACCTTTGATTATATTCCATCCGATGATCCAAATATGTGCATTCTGGCACACAATAGTTACTAGAAACAAAATAACCTAACTATATATATATATATATATATATATATATATATATATATATATATATATATATATATATATATAGAGAGAGAGAGAGAGAGAGAGAGGTATGTTCCGTTGAGATTAAAAATAAAATAGAGATGTTGAGATTCAACCTCAGCCACATATTTCACATTTGTCGTTCTAACCTTTCGGCGTACAGCGCGACAATCATTTTATAATCATAAATGATTATATAGTGTCACTCGCTCCTTTCTCATCCGCCGCCATCCCCACCACCACAACCGCCACCACCACCTCTGACACCAGTTCACATCACCACTATCACCTCCATCACTTATACCAGCACCTCTGTCCACCACCACCTTTTCTGCCACCAAGTGTTATAATCATATATGATTACTCAATCTGTGAACAAAAATATATGTATAATTATTTATGATTAGGCATATACGTATAAACATGTATTCCTCTCTGCCATATAATCATTTATGATTTCTGGAGCGTTAGAGCGGAAAATGAGAAATATGTGGCTGAAGTTGAATCTCAAGATCTCTATTTTTTTTTAATCTCAAGTGAACCATCTCCTATATATATATATATATATATATATATATATATATATATATATATATATATATATATATATATATATATATATATATAAACAAGATCGGGTGAGGACTTTTTTTCGGTGAGGACTCGTAAGGACACCTTAAAAAAATTGAAAAAAAAAACAAATCATAAAATCGAGCATAGTACTATATCGGAGAGAAAAAAAATGGAATTTTTTTTTTGAATCATGAAAATTGAAGCATAGATCATTTTTATGATCCATGATTCACTTTTTATGATCCGTGATTCAATTTTAATGATCAAATTTTTTTTTCTCTCCGATGTTGTACTATGCTAGATTTTAGGAGGACCTAAAAAACAAATAAATATCCAATTGTAAGGAGTCATTTTCTCTTGATACTTGTCAATTTTTGTTTTCTCCTTTCATTTCATATATCTCAACCACCAACACAAATGATATGTAATTTTCTTTAACATAAATACTAAAACATTTACTAATTTAAAATTAAATAAATAAAACTAAAAAATAAAAAAATTCATGAAAAAAAGTTTCTACTACAAACGAAAACTTAAAACCTAAAAACGATAACATATATGATATATCATAACACGATTATTAAAATAAATTATATTTTCGATAAAGGTATAGAAACATGCTCAATATGTGTAACATCTAGTTTTGGATGTTTCTTTTATCAGGATAGCAGGCCGTAATCCAACAGAAAATATTTTCAAGTGCGGATCAATTTGGAGTTTCGTATCTCAGGACAAAAGGATAGTTGGTTCTGGTTATCTCCGAGGGGTACGCTGCGTGTATGAGGTCAGCTCCCTGATCCTCGGTCAACTACAAAGTACGCCCCAAGTACACAAGGAGTACACCCCGCATACTGACTGAGTCCACCCGGTTGACTCAGTTGACTTTGACCTGGATTTTGATTAGGTTTTGACCTATGGGTATTTTAGGTATTTGAATGGTAGTATGAGTTTTAGAAATGTTATTCGTAAAGATGACCAGTAGCATGGGGTCGGAGCAGCGTGTTATTTCAACTTTCTTCTGTCTATAAGGTGAGTCTTCCTTACCACCTTAAGTTGGTCGCAGGCACCAAGGCCGACCCCTTGTATTGTATGAGTAAAACTGTACGTTATCGTATGATTTTGTATGATATGATTGTATGATTTATGTATTGAGCTAGTTTGGGCTCAGATTAATTACGGACTCGGGGTTGATACGGACTCGGGGTTGATACGGACTCGGGGGTTGATTCGGACCGACACAGCTACTTGTTGTTATTTTGCGTTGATACGGACCCAAGGGTTGATACGAACCCGACACAGCCACGTGTTGTTATATTATATATATCCTGTATATGGTAATTTGGGAAGATCACTAAGCTTTATGCTTACAGTTTATGTTTATGGTTTCAGGTACTTCCAATTCAAAAGGGAAAGGCCCGACGTGATGGCACAACATCCCCTCCATATGATTTCCACACTTGATGTATTTGTACTCTGATGTTTTGGAATACTATAATGATTAGTGAATTTTGGTACAATCAATGAATGAAATTAATGGTTTTTAAATGAAAATTTTTAGTTATGTTTTTGGGTTGTTACAAGTTGGTATCAGAGCCTTGGTTTAAGGGATTCGGGCATATTCTCGAGTGTGTCAGAACTGAATATAAGGAAATGATAGTTTTTCTTAAATAAAAATCAATTTAAACTTTAATACATAATTTTTATTTAAGAAGAAGGGTGCGATGCGTGCGATCAGCCGAGCTCAAGTAAGTGGTTCCCAGTTTACGCATACTTATGTCTTATGAGTAGTATGCTTGATAGGAGAATTGTATGCTAGATTAGGGCTAAGGATACCTTCATGAATCATATGATAGTATTTCCTGATTTGCATGATGCCTTAGAGCTTAGTGGAACTTGATGCCATGTATTACTTGGAATTGATATCGGCTCAGTTAATTGCTAAGTGTATGCTTTCAAAGTTGTATCCGATTAGGATTGTATAGCCCTAGAATTATCGATTTGGCCTCATTTCAAGCGGCAACACGAATATTGACAGGCTAAGGTCTCATCACAAAAGGTAAATAGGAGTACCAACCATAAACATTAACCGATTTAAGTTTACATCGCGTACAAAACAAATACATTCAGTTTTCACAATACATAGTTTAATACATAACAAAAGCAACAACTTAAATCATGCTGGTGTCTTATTAATTCACTGACCGTTCCCTGAAAAGCATACAAAAAAAAGGGTCAACTATAAAATAGTTTGTGAGTCACAGGTTTATAATAGTACATTATTTCAACAATAAAATATAGTTTATTCAATTAAAGTTCTAGTTCAGAAAATGATGAATGCCATTGCATTCCATTTACAACAAGCCTAACGACCGTTCTTACCCCATTCCATCATGTCCATGGTTCCCATGATGCCCGTTCATGGAAATATGCACTCGCAGTTCTGGGCGAGCGGGGGCTGTCGACCCCAAATAGCGCTATCCATAAGACCATCGGCTCGATTATGAGTTAATAGGCTGTATCGGTACTCCGGGGACTTATCATACAAGTTCATAACACCAAATTCATAGTAAAAGTTCATAATACAAGGTTCATACAGAAAAGTTCATATTATATTGTGACATCCCCAAATTCACGGCCAGAAAAGACCTGTTTAATTTATGCTTTTAAAATAATTTCAGAGTAATCCTTCGATTAAAAGAGTTGCGGAATTTGTTCCCAAAACGAAATATGATAAAATAAGATTTACCAAATCATTTCTTAAAGAAATGTATTTTCATTATATAACAAAACTCGGGATGTCATGTTCCGATACAGACCAAAAGCATAAACGGCACATTATAAGCCTTACAACAGTTATATATATTCTACAGGCCTATAATCAAAATATCTTGATAAGTCGTTCAACTTATGCTCTCGCGCCACTACCTGTAATACAAAGAAAAGTGAGTGGGTCAGGCTTGGGAGCCTGGTGAGGATATAGGGTTTTCAACCCACAATAAATAAATTTATTAATTTCATCAAACAACAATAACCCGATTACCCATTCCCGTTATCCTGACTTTACGTCCCTAAAACAACTATCATAAGGGACCTAGTCTAAGGATTTTCATCGGGGCGACAACACTGCTTTGGGGGTTTCCCAGCAATTTATGTCAAATAAGGCAACCATGTGGAGGATGGAGTACAACAATTGAACACCCAATTTCAATAACACCTACAGGTTGCGAGCCTGCCAG